CCACCCGCGGAGGGTGAGAAGGGAATTTTATACATAAATAAAAAATAAATAAAAAAAATTTGTGTGAAATTATTCAACTAAACTGATGAGGTATCTTTTTATTCCATTTTGACCCCTTTTTTATTTTTTAACCAAAATTATATAATTTTTTTTTAATGTCATAAAATGTATTACCTAAGGCAATCATCACATTTGTTACCTGTAATGTTCAATTACATAAAATTCGAGGACAGGATCTATTTTTCACTTACCTGAAATATGTTAAATACAACAAATATTTATTAAAGTCTGATCTATTCCATAAAATTTACTTGTCACCTTTATTGTCTAATTGCACTTTAAGTGTTTAAAGATGGGCTTTTTCATCTGGTTTGCCTGTTAAATTAAATGTTTACTGCAAAATGTCTGATTATATAATTGCTTACTTTAATCACATAAAGTGTTTATTTAAAAATATAATCTTTCATTACATGTATGTTTATTATTTGAAATATTTTAAATATCAAATTTTGACTTTAAATGTGATTCATTACTTCACCTGTTTACATGCAACTTGAAGAGCTTGAATCAAACGATTCATGAATGTTTAATGCATTAAATTATTAAATGACAGAAAACAGCCACTTCCAACTGTATTTCAACACAAATGGTTCCTGTTCCTCTTCAGAGTCTGCAGCCTTGCTGAGCTCCTCTCCTGGGGTTTCCTCCTCCTCAGCCTCTCCAACTTGCTCCTCTTCTGTTGTCTCTGCTGCTCTGTTTTCATTATTTACCTCTTCTGGGGTAAATAATGAAAACAGTCTCTGTAACTTGTTGATGGTTTTGCTGTATCGCCTCTTTAATTGACGCGCCTGTCGGTCCGATGTTGTGGCGTTTACCTCAGTGACCCATATTCAGCGCTGGACCCCAGTCAGGATTGAGCTCATCCATTTCAAGAGGACATATCAGAACACACATCAGTATTAATACTGTAAATCTGATAACACTAGTAAAATAGTTTACTTCACAATAATGTAAGAACCTCGATGTCCACTGACAAAACTCGGACTATGCTACATAAACAATATTAGCCCGACCTAAACAAGGTTGACCCACTTAAATGAACTCAACATAAACGGAACATGAGAACACCCGGACAAAATCATAGCAAAAAATTATGACACAACACCAACAAAGCGAATTTAAACACTCACCAGAATGGAAATGTCTGGAGCAAACTTGTAGGTATCTGGGGATGTTGGAAAGCTCTATTTGGGTCGGGTCTGCCGGGGCAAACGGGTCCTAGGTGAGGGATTGGACCAAGAGCAGCCCAAAGATCACTTAAAAATATAAACAGAATGTTCCTGTTTAGAGATGGCGATACAGACAGGGTTCCCACTTACAACCAGAGCTATAGACCGAAGTCAGAGTTTCTCCCAGTGTTTTATCAGCCTGGCGGGCCACCAGACTTTATTTTCCCCCCACCAGGAGATGGGTTGGTATTTTAAATGGAGATTTTTCTTCACTAATGAGTAAAGACAGATTGAGGTGAAGGTTTATAGATAAGACATTGAACTGACTGAGGCATTGTGAACTCATCAGTTGTCCTTTGGCTTCACATGCTGTTATTTCTGAGTTTTGATGCCTGATCCTGCACCTCTGACTTTCTGTAGCTTGACATTGACCTGGAACCTGCACCTGTCCTGTTGTCGCCTTCCCATCCTCAGTTTCCATTTGCATGAAAATTGTTTTAAGAAAAAGTTTTAGTTGAGACCAGAGACTTCATAATTCCTTTTTATTTTGTAGTTTCTGTTTATTTATTTGGATATTTTAAATGTCTTCCAGGTCGAGTGTTAAATGTTCATTAGAATAGTTTGAGAATGGGCCCCATAAGGTGGTCCTCACAGTGTAGAAATGGACCTCAGTTGGAAAAGTTAAATCTTTCAACCCAAATGGCTGAAAGTCAAACACGCTCCTGTTTTTAAGGCCTGCTGCTTCTACGGGATGCCTGAAAAGTCAAGATATGGGAAAAAAAAAAAAAAAAAAAAAAAACTGAATCTCCTTTAAATTTCCCAGTTTCTGTGTCTGAGTTATGAACTTTGAACTGCAGCTGCTTCTGATGCAACAGTTTAGTATTTTATAGTTAATTATGTTTATTTAATGATTGGAAGTTAGGAGGACTTCAGATCTCTGCTGTTGGAGACCCTGAACTCCGGTTTGAAATGTGTTTCTGACCTTTAGGAGCTGAATAAATGAATGATCCTGGTTTCCAGCAGTTTCTGTGTAAAAGCTGCAGTTTGTTTTCTTTCTCCATCTCTTCCATGCTGACGCTGAATCTCTGTAATCCTGCTGAGTCAGACTCTTGATCCGCCTGTGAACCTGAACTGTAGGAGCTCCAGAGAGGCTCTCGTCCAATCAGAGCGCTGCACAGCCTGTTACCCCGCCCCCTCAGCCGTGGCCAAGGAGCTGCGGCTCCACCTGAGCGGCCAGGTGAGGAGGAGGAGGAGGGATGAAGATGTCATGTTGGCTCTGTGACTCAGCAGGTGTTCGGGTTTATAAGCAGCAGTTCTGTGGTGAAGCACACAGAGACGATGGCCAGGCTGCTCTGCATGGTGTGGATCCTGGTCTGCAGCGCCGCCCTGCTGGACGGGAGGGCTTCAGGTAAACACACCTGTCTGTCTGTCCGTCTGGTTTTGATGATTCGGTTCGGTCAGGTTGGTCTGTTCGCAAAGAAAGAAACCATTTGAATGATTGTTTTTGCGTTTAATTACAGTTTTTTTTATCTCTAAAAATGAGCTTGTTTGGAGCAAACTGGTGTTTTCAGCAGAAGGTTCTGGTTTATCTGCTCGGGTTCGCTCGTGATCAGTAAGGATGAGGGAGAGTTGAGTGGATCCAGCATGTTGGTGCTTTTCACTGTCAGAGTACCAGCTGGAGACGGAGGCGCTGAGCAGATGCGAGATACTGCGGAGCGTTGCCGTGGGAACCAAACAGGAAGAGGTTCCTCACTGTTTGGAGGATGGCAGCTTCAGGTATCTGCAGCGCAACATCTTCATTTCATCTCTCCCCACTTTTCTGGATGAAATATATGAGATGACATTTTCAAAATTTGTCTGATGTTAACAGCTTTAATTTTCACTCATATTTCCACCATGTTTGTCATTCATTTATAAATGTCACCAAATTTTAAATTAATTATTAAATATTGAATTAGCAAGCTAAATATGTAGCTTCAAACTAAATGTTTAGCTTCAAGCTAAAAGTTTAGCTTGTACATTCAAAAGTTAGCTTGCTGACAAAATAGCATGAAGTTAAAATGTTCACATTCAAACAAAATATTTAGTTTGAAACTAAAGATTTAACTTTTTAGCTAAATATTTACCTCTTAGCCAGACATTTAGCTTGCTAACTCAATATTTAGCTCTAGCCTAAATGTTTAATTATTAAGTTAAATATTAGATTTCTGCACTCAACATTTAGCTTGGTCGTTGATGTTTAATCAGGTAAAGATTTAGCTTGCTAACTTCATATTTACATATTCAGCGTATTTAAAGCTAAAAAATTAGTTTGAAGCTACATATTTAGCTCACTAACCAAATATTTAGTAAGACACTGTCATGTCCATAAATAACCTTTTTTCCTCTTAGTACAGGCTAAAAGACCCATATTATTGCTGGTAATTTTACAAACATCACCAAGCAGAACCTCTGCATATCTAAAGAACATATTTTAGTTTTTATTCTGCAGAGGTGTTTAATAACTTTCATCCAGTTTCTGCTTCATTTTAACAGTGTGAGGTTTCCTCCCTCCAGGTCTGTGCAGTGCAGTGGGCAGAGTCAGGAGTGCTGGTGTGTTGACTCTGAAGGTCAGGAGGTCACCGGGACTCGAACCAACAACTCCATTCCTCACTGTGAGCAAAAACCCACAAAATTACATTTATAATGTTTCATGTTGCATTTTCATTCACTTCAGGAAACTCAAAAGTCTTGTTTCAAGAGGCAGAATGAGTTTGAGCTTTAGTTTAAATGTTTTAATATAAAAGAGTCCAAATGAAATGAAACATCTTCTCAACTGTTTTCAGAAGCCATTAAAAGGTTAAAATCTGATGCTTAAGGTATTAATGTTTGCGAGTTCGATCCCAGACAGGCCCCCAAATGTCATGTCAAAACGATAATAAACCAGAAAAAAACAGTTGGCTTCAGTTTTGTGAATTTCATGAAAAACATCATATGATTCAGCTGGTTTGGTTTTGTTTCTATGGGAACAGGAAAGGTGATGTTAAGAAACTGGAGCTAAATCAGAGGAAGCGCTGGTCCCTTTCTCAGATCTGATGACTCCATGCTTAGCTCTTTAGTTTGACTTTCTGGGGGAAGGAGGAAGATTCTGAAGCTGTCCGGTTCCAGGTCCGACCCCATGCCAGCTGCAGTCGCTGCTGCAGTGCGCCCCCTCTGGTCTGTTTGAGCCGGTGCAGTGCGACTCCAGGGGGCGCTGTTGGTGCGTGGACCAGGACGGCATGGAGCTGTACGGCACCAGACAGGCCAGCATCCCGCGTCGATGTGCGTATCCACAACAGAACCCTTCCTTCCTGCTGCAGAACGCAGGCCTGACTCACTGCGACCTTTGACCTTTAGGTCCCAGCAGCTGCGAGGTGAGGTCCAGGCGCCTGCTTCACTCCTCGGCTTCCTCACCTCCTCAGTGCGCCGCAGACGGCAGCTTCCTGCCTGTTCAGTGTAAATTCATCAACACGACCGACAGAACGGAGCTGGACCTGCTGCTGGCCTTCAGCAGGTAACGGCTCACCTGTCCTCACCTGCTCTCACCTTTCTCATCTGTCCTCACCTTTCTCGTCTGTCCTCACCTGTCCTCACCTGTCCTCATCTGTCCTCACCTTTCTTACCTGTCCTCGCCTGTCCTGAGTAAATCCACCTGGTTACTACCCAACCCTGTCTGCCTGTCCTCACCGAGTTTTGTAGTAACTAGTCAAATTTACCTGAGTAACTTTTTTTGAACAAAATGTACTTTTATGAATTATTGTCATTTTCGCCTTTTAGATGCATAACTTTCCACTTAACCTTGTATTTTGGTTTGTCTGATGATGTATTTTTAAATATTAAATGGTTGATAATCTGTACTTTACTTTTTACTGTTGAGTAATTTCTTGGACGGACACTTTTTGCTTTTACTTGAGTAAAAACATGTTGAAGTGGTGCTGCTGTTAGTGTAGTTTTGGGTTCTCTGCCTACCTCACCTGAGCAGGTAGCAGCTCACCTGAGTGTCTGCAGAGTCAAATGTTCTGCTTTATGCTCCAGCTCTCCAGAGGCGTTTGAGACCTTCAGGAATTTCAGGAAGTTTTTCCCGCTCGTCTCCTCGTACTGCTTCTGCTCCGACAGCCGCGGCAGGGAGCTGCAGGGGACAGGTGAGCTGACCCGGGTTCTGGTTCTGGTCCCAGACACTTTGACCGGATTCCTGTACAGGTCTGGCTTTCAGTCACAGTCCATGATGTTCTGGGAGCTAATTGAAGAACTTTAATGCCTGTTTTATGCTTTCCTGAACCAGTTTGGACCTTTTGGGTCCATTTTCCAGGTGAGTCACCAGAACTGGACCCAGGTTCAATCATTTAGTTCCTTCCATTTTCTTTAACTTAGTAGGTAAATATTTATTTAGCAAGCTAAATATTGAGCTTAAAGCTATGTATTCACTCTGGATAGTGACACTGTTTCTCCAGAAGTTTCTGTTTGTCCGGTTCCACTCAGGTCCAGGATTCGGAGCTTTGGACCCACGTCTAAAGCTCAGAATCCAAATGGTTTTGGCTTGAGTTTCTGGAACGGTGGGCCCACAGATCCCTCCTCAACCTCAGAAATCCGGCTCAGTTTCAGGAAACCAGCAGAATGACGCCGGGCGTTGGCTGATGGCAGCAGGACGTCTGTGGCTCCAGGTTGAAAAGTTTAGATGATGTAACGATGCAGGTGTGACCTTCCTGTCCAGGTGTGGAGCTGCTCATGTCTGAGGTGTACGACTCGGCGTTTTCCGGTCCCCGCTCTGCTCACTCTTTCGCTCAGACCAACATCTACAGAGTCCTGCAGAGGAGGATGCTGGGAGTTCGCCTCGCCCTCAGCGGACACTTCAGATGTAAACAGACTTAAAAATATCCACATGAACTTTATGCTGGACTTAAAAACTTGATCCAGTTTTAAATTAAAAGGTTTAATTTGACATTAACTGTTTATTAGAACCAGTTTGAACTGGTGTGAACCAGCCTGGACTGGTCTGAAGCAGCTAGTTCTAACCAGTTTAGATCAATTTGAATGGTTTGAATAGGTTTCAACCAGTTTGAACTGGTGTTGTTACTGAGTTTGAACTGGTTCAACCGGTTTGATCCAGTGTCATCAGTTTCTGATGTGAACTAGTGATAAAACTTGTTTAACATTGTTTGAACCAGTTTTCCAACCAGTTTGAATGAGTTTGAACTGGTTTTGACCAGTTTCAGCAGGTCTGAGACCTTCCTCCTGTCTCCATTAGATCCAAACTTAACAATTTGAACTAGTTTGAACTGTTTCAACCAGTTTGAGCCAATTAGAAGTCGTTTGAACTGGTTTGAACCAGATTTTACTTGTCAGAACCAGTTTGAACTGGTTTGAACCGGTTCTGACCCAGTCCCAGCAGGTCTGAGATCTGTCCTGCGTCCCCATCAGGTCCGTCTCCCTGTGAGGAGGAGCGGCGGGCGGCCCTGGAGTCGTCCAGCGTCTTCGTCCCATCCTGTGAAGCTGACGGTCGCTTCAGCGCGAAGCAGTGCCAGCAGGGGGCGCTGTGCTGGTGCGTGGACCCCACAGGGAGGGAGCTTACTGGGACGCGGCGGCCCGGAGACGGCCTGGTCTGTGGTGAGGATGAGCTGCATCATTTGGTCGGCTGCTGCTCTCGGTCCAAACGGAGAACTGATTCTCCTCTAACTCCGCCTCCAGGTTCTGGTCCAGCTGACTGCCCCGCCCAGCGCCGTCTGGCTCTGTCCCAGCTCTTCTCGGGTCTGGTCCGTCCCCCTCAGGCGTCCTCTGGTTCAGCAACTTTATGTTTGTCCCTCCTGCGTCCTCTCAGGGTTCTGGGGTATTCGGACCCGACCTCCTTCCTGTCCCGGCTGGTTGAGGTTCTGCAGGGTCTCTTCCCCTCAGTGGGCGGAGCTCTGGAGGCGCTGACCCGCTCCCCGGCCCAGCGCCTCCAGGAGAACCTGTTTGGAGGGAAGTTCCTGCAGAATGTGGCGGCCTTTAACTACACCGGGGTGCTGGGACCTCGAGGAGCCGTGGGGGTGGACCAGCTGTCCGCTCAGAGCCTGCAAGAGAACCGGGACCTGGTCCGGGCCGTGAGCCGGGCCCTGGAAGATCCCGCCTTCCTGTCCGCCCTGAGGCAAACACTGATGGTTCTCAGCGGCGCCCCCTCTGGTTCACTGCAGCAGGTCTGACATCAGAACCTGTTAACAAACCGTGAAACACCAACATTTAGCAATAAGTTCTGACCACAATGAGTCCAGTACATCAGCTCTGACCCACAGCATGCTGATCACAGGTTGCCATGGTGATTCCCTCCTTTCAGTACAGTACATCATATAGAACGGGTCAGAACCTTTTGGGTACACACATCTGCTAATCCGCTGCTAGCAGAGCTAACTTTCAGCTTAGCGCTTTTGCTAACTTTGAAAATGTTTAGCGCACTTAGGTTTCCCTAAATTAAAATTTAAGCATCTGTGTTGAAGTTTTAGTCATCGGCTCTTAAGAGTTTTTCAAGGAGTTAGACGTTTATTTTGACGCTCTTGTTTTGAAGAGTTTAATCAGTAGTTTCCTTTCCTCTCTCATGTTGTGTTATCTACTTATAGTGGACATCAATGTAGTTTAAATTAGCAATTTAGCATTAGCTTCAGCTAATTACCATGTTGGTATAGCTCATTAGCGTTAGTGAAACAGATTTGATTAGCGCCTTAGTGTTAGCCACAGCTAATACATTAACTCTGACCCAAAGCATGCTGATCACTGGTTGCCATGGCGATTCCCTCCTTTCCTGGACAGTAAACGCCGGCAGTGCGATATGTTGGGGAGTTGGGTCAGAACCTTAAACTCGGGTTCCACTGAGCAGACTTCAGGAGTAACTATCCGTCCCGTTTCAGGTCCTGGCTGGAGTTCTGAGGTCCTGCTCTGAGGAAGAGGACGACTCTTCGTCCCTCTTCGTCCCCCGCTGCTCGCTCAGCGGGGGCTACCAGCCGGTCCAGTGTCGGGACGCAGAGTGCTGGTGCGTCAACCTGCAGGGTCAGGAGGCACCGGGGTCACGGACCGCCGGCTGGCCGCCGCGCTGCCCGACCAGCTGCGAGATGGCCAGAGCCAATGCCATGAAGGTGAAATCCAACATGGCCGCCGGAGCCGAGATCCACATTCCGGCGTGTTCAGAGGACGGAGACTTCCTGCCACTTCAGTGCGTCGGAGATCGCTGCTTCTGCGTGGATGCTGAGGGGAGGAAGATGGCTGCAGGGCCAACAGGGGGCGCTGTCACATGTGAGGCCTGTTTATTTACCATGAAGGAACAGTAACTTTAATTCATTCACTTCTTCTTCAGTGAATCACTGAATTTGTTGTTTCAGGTCCAGAGAATAAAACGCTGAAGCTTCAGTCAGGTGAGAGCAGAGACTTTTAACCTGGAAATACCTCACTTCCTGTCTGAACACACCTCACTTCCTGTAGTTTCTGCTCCATCAGAATGTCAGTGACATCTCCTTCACCTTTGACCTTTCAGGTCGCTGCTCCAAGGCACTCGCTGAGGTCACAGCATTCAGACAGGAAGTGGACAGCCTCGTCTTCCTCTCTAACTCCACCCACTTACCTGTGGGATACGGCTTTCTATTGGCCAAAGGTCTGAGTCTGAGCCAGTCAGAGGAGGAGCTGCAGCTCAGCCAATCAGAGGAGCTGAAGGTGTCAGAGAGGTTGCTTAGTCGCTCCAGATCTGCGCTGCGATTGGCTGCTTCCTCCAGTGAGTTGCAGAGACACAAACTGCAGGAATTTAACCTGAAATATCAGATGTATCTACAGATTACGCTGCAGAAAGTTTGAGTTTGTTTGGAGAAACAGTTTAGAGAAATATTTTATGGTTTTATTCAGTTCGTCAAAAAAAAAACGAAAAAGAAAAGAATAGTTTCATAGTTTTTTATAGGCAAACAGGTAACACTGTATTTGAAGGGGGTGACATAACACCTGTCATGAACATGAATAAGTCTTCATGAATAAGTCTTCATGAATATTTATGATATTTATGTCATAAAGCGTCATTTGGTAAATTATGACATTTTTAATACAAAGTTGACATTATTCAAAATGTCTTTGTTATGACAACTTGACATTAACCAGGTAATCATTACTGATTAAACTTTACCTTTAGTAACATAAAGTTACCTCATTTTTAAAGTGCAATCAGTAATACTTTTATAACAAATTTATATCAGTAATGATTTCTTAGGGTTAGGTGTGTCATAAATATTCATGAAGGCTTATTCATGTTCATGACAGGTGAAACCTATTCACCTCCTTCAAATAAAGTGTCACCAGAAAAGGATACTAAATAAAGGATCAAATAAAAACTGAAGGCCTAACTTTAGCACTGCCACAACAAACACACATTGGAAGTGAATATGAATTAGTGACATCACTGATGACATCATTGGCTCTTCCTCAGCTCTTCTGATGCTGCTTCCTCCTCATCGTCTCTCCTACCAGCTCTTCACTCCACAGTGTGACGCCGCCGGAAACTGGAGGCTCACACAGTGTTACCACAGCACAGGTCACACACACACCCAGAGGTCACACACACCCAGAGGTCACACACACACACCCAGAGGTCACACACACACACCTAGAGGTCACACACACACCTAGAGGTCACACACACACACCTAGAGGTCACACACACAC